AGAAACCAAAAGAAAAAAAAAAAAGGTAAAACAAAATTCACTACCTAAAAGTATTTTTTTATAAAATGGTCTCCTGAACTGTTCGTTTTTGTTGTTGGTTTTCAATTTTTTATTTATTATTTTTATTTTATGTGTATTGTGTATGAGTGTATTGCCTGCATGTATGTGAGCGCACCCATGTCGTGCAATGCTGTGGAGGTCAGAAGAGGGCTTCGGATTCCCCTGGAACTGGAGTTAAGGACAGTTCGTAGCCAACAGCTGGGAATTGGCTTCGGATTCCCCTGGAACTGGAGTTAAGGACAGTTCGTAGCCAACATGTAGGTGCTGGGAATTGAACCCCAGTCCTCTGTAAGAGCAGTCAGTGCTCTTAACTGCTGAGCCATCTCTCCAGCCTCTGGTTGTTTTTTTTTGTTTGTTCTGGGTTTTGTTTTGTTTTTTTCTGTCTTTTTGAGGCAGGGTCTCCCTGTAGCCCCATCTGGCCTGGAACTCACTAAGTAGACCAGGCTGGCATCAAACTCACAAACATCCGCCTGTCTCTGCCTCCCAACTACTGGAATTAAAGGTGTGTACCACCAAACTTGGCCACTTCCAATGTTTTAAGCCCCCAATTCTGTGGCACATTGTCACAGCAGTCATAGGAAATTGACACAAGATCAGTTAAGTTCAAAGTCAGGAGGGCAAAGTTTTTGTTCAAGCAAGAGCCTCTGAGGAGGATGAGATGGAGCCAGCTCAATATTCTGACAAAAGGGAAAGAAGAGAAAGAACTTAGCATTAACCATGCCTTTCCTTAGTAAATGCACCTCAGAGAAACCAAATGCTCAATGAAAATATTTTTCTATACTAAAAACGCTTCTAGCTAACAAAAGCAGGAGTCAGAGAATTAGAGCACACTAAGACACCAGTCACCAGCAGTCACTAAGCACTGTCCAAACCACAAGTGTACCTAAAACTTAAAATCAATTAGAGGTGAAAAATGTTCAGATGACCACATTTTTGGCAAAACACTGAACTTACCCTCTGCAAGTAAGAACAGGCCAGTGCAGACAGAGAGATTGCTCAGTGGTTAGGAGCAGTGGCTCCTGCAGTGGACCTGGGTTCGGTTCCCAGCACCCACATGGCGGCTAACAACCATCCTTAATTCCAGTTCCAGGGGATCTGACTCCCTCTTCTGACCTCTGCAGGCAATTGTACAACATGGGTGCACTTACAGGCATGCTGGCAATCATACACATAAAGTAAAAAATAAAATGTAAAAAATTTTTTTAAAGAATTCCAAGCAGGAATTCTGCCAATATTTCTGATGGTTGGAATCACCATTGCAAGATGACAAACTTGGGTTTCCTCAACTGTGTAAGAAATATTTTCAATTTCAAGAAGACCTCATTTCTTTGATGACATGCATTTGCCTTCACCTGATAAAATTCTGTGTAATTATGTTTAACTAGACTGTACACACATGCACTCACACTCACCTCCTAATGTGCTTCTTAGGAGCCTCTTCTGACTAACACTGGCATTGCACAACCTGGGCGCACTTACATACACGCAGGCAAAACACTCATACACGTATAATAAATTAATTAATTAAATAAAGAATTCGCAAGAATAAAAAGACCTAGAGAAGGAGCAGATGTGATAAGGCACAGCTGTAATCCCAGCACTCAGGAGAGGGCACAGGGAGATCAGGAGTTCCAGGCCAGCTGGGCTACATAGTGAGACCTTGTCTCAGCCAAAGACAGGGGGAAGGGAGGGGGACAAGGCAAGAGCTGAGCCGATGGTGCTCCCCAGTAATCCCAGTACTTGGAAGCAGAAGCAAGAGGACTGTTTAAAGCTCAAGCCCAGCCTGGTCTACATAAAAAATTTAATCAACTTAACAAAAATTTTAAAATACACACCAACAAGCCAGGCACACTTGTAACCCGGCTCTCCATTCATGCCTTTCCTAGCACAAGCCTCTCTAGAGCTGGCACTCCAGGGTGGCCCTCTGCTTTCTCTCTGGATCATCCTCCTGCAGGCAGCTTCCTTCTATGGAGTTCCTTGTGGGGAAACCTGGGCTGGAGCCAGGGGTGGTGACACACAGACACACAGGCACTCAGAAGCTGAGGCAGGGGGATTAAGGCCAGCATGGCCCAAACAGCAAGACCCTGTTTCAGTCGGGAAGGTGGAGGAGGCAAAGGAAGAAGGGGACAGGGAGGAGACACCACCTCTAGTTCTGTGGTCCAGGCCTACTGGTAGAGGCCGCCCCCCTTGTGGCAGGTCTAGGAAGCATATGCAGGGCATGGATGGTCTGCACCAGCCTCCCATTGTATCCTTCCTCCACCTGGCCCCAGCAGTGCCCACCATGGGTCCCTCAGCCCTGTGCACTCCCATCCATGAAAGAGGGCCATTCCTCCTGGGCAGCACTTGGTGCACAGTCTGGGCTAGCACCTTCCAACAATGCAGAAACTTTGCATGGATCCAAGGTCTAGCCTGGCCACATGACTCCCTTCTCTGGGCTTCTGGAATATGTAGATGATAGCAAGATCTGTCTCATAGGGCTATTGTGAGGGTCAGAATTTGTGTGGTATGTCCATTCAGTGGAGTATCACATGGCCATGAAAAGGAATGAGGAAGAATTCACTATAAGACACTAAGCAAAGTCCCTAGCATGCAGTTAAATAAACATTAACTGCTTTTCTTTTTTTTTGGTCTTTTTGAGACAGGGTCTCCCTGTAGCCCCAGCTGTCCTGGAACTCATTATGTAGACCAGGCTGGCCTTGAACTCACAGAGATCCTCCTGCCTCTGCACCACCACGCCCAGCCAACTGCTATTATTTTTATGATAATAATTACTATTATAAAATATAGGGGCTGAGGGTGTGAACTACATAGTTTGAAGCCAGTCTGGGACCTTGTCTTAAAAGAAAACAAAAGGCTTAGAAAGGGACTTCCTGCCAAATGATACAAGCCTGACAATCAGAACTGGTTGTCCTCAGAACCCACATACAGGTGGAAGGAGAGGCCCGAGTCCACAGAGTTCTCTGACCTCCAACAGGCTGTCACATGCAGGTGTCCTCCCCCAACCCTATCATGCATGCAGGCATACACATGGTTTCTGTGGAATTGGGGTATTTTGTTTGGTTGGTTTGGTTTTGGGTTTTTTGAAGACAGGATCTTCCTGTAGCCTTAGGTGGTCTGGTAGTCCTTGTATAAACCAGGCTGACCTCAATCTCACAGATCCACCTGCCTCTGTCTCCCAAATGCTGGGTCCCCTACTAAATTTGATATTTTTAAAAAACCACTAGTCCTCCCCAAAGAACTGGCCAGAGCAAAAGGGCACGGCAGGTGTTATTACACTGGAAGCCTCTGCTTTCTTCCCTCCCTCAGACCCTCTGTTCTAGATACATACCCACCTACCACAAGGACTTTGCCTATATGGTTTCTTCTACTCAGAACACTCTTCCCTAATTTCACCGAACCCCATCACAAGACTTACCAGGTCCTCATCACAGCTCCCTCCCTTCTGCCTCCTCCTCACCCTATGCATATTTGAGACTGTTATTATACGGTTATTAACAACATCCATCCCCACTGGGCTTGGCACCACTGGCAGGGAGGTGTGCAGTTTCAAGGGTAGGGCTGAAGGTAACACTGCCGGCCCTTCCAGCCTGTCTAGCATGCTGTTCCGGTTGCTAACTACTCCAGCTTTAGCACCCCTTCTGGGACCCCTCCCTAGCCAGTCTCCCTCACAGAACTAGAAGTCCAGGAAGGCAAGCCCGGGGCTGTCAGTCACTCCTCAGTCCCAAGCATCTCTCAATAAAAGGCAGGGAGAGGAGGAGCTCAGAAGAAAGGGCAAATGCCGACCACAGTGTCCCAAGGAACCGCGTGGTGGTCCCCCCCGCCACTGTCCCGGCCCCGCCCCAACTTACTGCTCCCGCAGGTGCCAGATCTCCCTCTCCCACTTGTCCCGGGTGTCCTGGCCGTCCAGTCCCCGAAGGCGGACCAGCTCCTGTTTCAGTGAGCGGATGATGCCCTGCAGGACCACAGGGTCTGGCTTGCCCTGGTACAGGAGGGGCAGTGGGTAGTGAATCCTGAGGAAGGGGATCAGAACCAAGGCAGCTCAGAGGCCAGGATCCAGTTCTGAGCCAAAGAACAGACAACACACAGGCCCCAAAGCTCATGTTCTAGGTTTCTGCAACCCAGGCTGGCCTTGAACTCCCAAACCTGCCTCAACCTCCCAAGTGCTGGGATGATAGGTGCAAGTCTTTGCCCCACACAGCACTGTTCCAGTCATTCACACCCAGAAGCTGAGGCCACAGGACCCTACAGTCCTGGGGCAGTGTCAACAAACTGCCCTGGCTATGACTGGTCCAAAGCACCATCTTCAAGCACAATCCCGACATACACTCCATCCTGGGAGACCCCCAATTAGCCTATGCTGAGTCAGCCCTGGGCTGGGGAAAGGAGGGCATCTTCATGAGCTGCCCCACCACACATCGTTCCTACACGATTGGTAACTTCCTTCTCCATCACCCGGAAACCAGGGCAAGAACCATTCCTGGCTGAGTGTGGTGCTCACACCCCTAATCCCAGCCCTCAGGAGGCTGAGGCAGAAGGGTTGCTATGAATGAGGCCAGGGTGGGCTACAAAACAAGCCCATCTCTTAACAATAAGAAGGGGCTGGAGAGATGATGGCTCAGCAATTAAGAGCACTGGCCGCTTGTGCAGAGGACCTGGATTCAGTTCCCAGCATCCACATGGTGGCTAATAGCTGTCTGTAACTCCAGTTCCAGGGGATCTAACATCCCTCTGGCCTCCTAGAGCACTGTATGCATATAGAACTCTTGCTAGCAAAACTCATGGACATAAAATATAAATAAATAAAATCTCTTTAAAAGGGGGGAGAGCCAGGCGTGGCAGTGCACGTCTTTAGTCCCAGCACTTGGGAGGCAGAGGCAGGCTGATCTCTGTGAGTTCAAGGCCAGCTTGGTCTACAAACTGAGTTCCAGGCCAGGTGGGGGCTACAGGGAGACCCTGTCTCAAAAAGACCAAAAAATAGAAATAAAGAAGGGGGGGCTGGAGAGATGGCTCAGTGGTTAAGAGCACTACTGCATTTGCAGAGGACCTGGGTTTGGGCCCCAGCATCCACATGGCGGCTAACAACTGTCTAACTCCAGTTCCAGGGGACCCAACACCCTCTTCCAGCCTCAGCAGGCACTGCATGCCATGGGTGCACTCACATACATGCAGGCAATACACGCATGCAGTGCTGCAGAGGTCAGAAGAGGGCTTTGGATTCCCTGGAACTGGAGTCAAGGACGGTTCATAGCTACCATGTGGGTGCTGGGAATCGAACCCGGGTCCTCTGCAAGACCAGTCAGTGCTCTTAACCACTGAGCCATCTCTCCAGCCCAAAAAAGTAAATTTTTTAAAAAACAAAGAAAGGACTGGAGAGACGGCTCAGTGGGTAAGAGGGCATACTGCGAGTTGGGTTCCCAGCATACAACTGGACAGCTCACAACATCTGTAAACTCCAGCTCCAGGGGGTCCAACACCCTCTTCTGACCTCTACAGGCACCCACACAAATATGCATATATATACACACACACATAAACATAAATTAAAATAAAATAAATCTTTAAAGAAAAACAAAAGGGGGGCATTCCCAACTCCCTTCTCCCCTGCTGTCTCCCACTAGAAAGGTCAGAAAGTCAAATGCTCATCTTCCCAGCATCCTTTACATATGACCACCTCTAGCCAATTTTATGGGAATTCTGTTGAGGGTCTTCTGAGAAAAGCTAACACAGCCCATCCCTCATCTTCCTGCTTTGATGATCAGATGCAGTGTCTAGAGGCCCAGCAGCTATTGTGTGATCACAAAGTGAGAAAGTTCAGATCAAAAGTCTACTTCTAGTTAACACGTAAAGGTGAAAACAGAAAGAGGAAGGGAGAGAGAGAGAGAGAGAGAGAGAGAGAGAGAGAGAGAGAGAAATGAATCTCTTAGCTAGGCATGGTGATACAGGCCCATCATCCCAGCACTTGGGAGGCTAAGGTAAAAGGATTCCAACTGTGATGCCAGCCTGGGCTACACGGTGAGTTCCAGGTCTCAAAAAACAAAGAAGAAAACAAATGTGACAAATGCCTGTCATTTCAACACTTGAGACGCTGAGACAGGAGGAAGGCTGTGACTTGAAAGCATACATGTTGAGTTCCAGGCCAGTCTGGGCTACAAATTGAGACCCTGTCTCAAAAACAACCAACCAACCACACAGAAAGAGAAAGAGCTCGCGTCCTTAATGGAAAAGCTCAGCTACAGTTTAGACACTAGCTATGTGATGCAGCATGATCTGTTTAAAGCACTTGGGGCAGTTGCTCAGTGGTAGAGCACTTGCCTAGCATGTGCCAGGCCCTGGGTTCCATCCCCAGCGCCACAAAACATAACAAATAGTTGTTGGTGATAATTCTGTCTTTTTCAACCACTAACAATACTACCTGATAAAAACCCCAAAGACCCAGAAGGTGAGGGAAAGACCTGGCAGCCACTGGTTGCCAGGGGCTCCTCCCATTCTACCCCCCATACCCCCGGAGCAGCTACTGAGCCCACCTGTCAAACTCCACAGAGTAGATGAGGATGAGGTAGCGCTTGGATTTGAGCTGTGCCGACCTCGGAGCCAAGGATCCAGGGTGGCCCCCCAGCTTGCGGCTGCGCAGGGACTCCAGGTCTGTGTAGGTGAGCAGGTCTAGGGTGACCGACTCACTGTTCTGCAGAAGACAACCAGCGAGCTGCCAAGGATGCACATGGTCGCCCTGGGAACACACAGCACACCCTCCCAGCCCCTGCACTGGGTCTCGGGGCCCTGGGACGTCCCTCTAGGATCACCCTGGGCCTACACGAGATGAAAGACAGAAAGATGGAAGGAAAGAAAGGAAATGGGAAAGGAACAAATGAAGACAGAGGGAAAGCGAGAGGGAAGGAGGCAAGTGAATGGGGGGAAGAGAGAGAGAGAGAGAGTAATCCCAGCACTAGGGAGGCAAAACCAGGTGGCTGTCTTTGAGATCCAGGCCAGCCTGGTCTACATAGTGAGTTCCAGGCCAGCTGGGACTACAGGGAGACCCTGTCTCAAAAAACAAAATATAAGCTCGCTGTGGTGGCACACGCCTTTAATCCCAGCACTCAGGAGGCAGAGGCAGATGGATCTCTGTGAGTTCAAGGCCAGCCTGGTCTACATAGTGAGTTCCAGGCCAGCTGGGGCTGCAGGGAGACCCTGTCTCAAAAGACCAATATAGATAGATAGATGATTGATGATAGATAGATAGATGATTGATAGATAGATAGATGATAGATAGATAGATAGAGATAGATAGATAGATAGATAGATAGATAGATAGATAGATAGATAGATTAGATGATAGATAGATAGATAGATAGATAGATGATTGATAGATAGATAGATAGATAGATAGATAGATAGATAGATAGATAGATAGATAAGTAGATAGATTAATAATATAATAATGGGGGCTGGAGAGATGGCTTGCCGTTAAGAGCACTGGCTGCTCTTACAGAGGACCTGTGTTTAGTTTCCAGCACCCACATAGCAGCTAACAACAGTCTGTAACTCCAGTTCAAGGGGATCTGATGCCCTCTTCTGTCCTCTGCAGGCACTGCACGACATAGGTGCTGTTATATACATGCGGGCGATACACTCGTACACATAAAATAAAAATAATAAAATATTAAAATAAAATTTAAAATACTCTTTTTAATCTTTCCAGAGAAAACAGAATTACCGGGTTAGCCACTTCGTGATGCAAGTGTACAAAGAAATACGAAGCAACTATTAACAAGAACGATAAATACAGAAGCTGATAATAAAAGCAATTCGTATACAGCAGTTATAATTAGAAACTATGCCAAGCTTTGTACCTAACAACTCACTTCATCTTCACAATATAATGAAATGGAAACTACCACAGGCAGGGAGACCAGGGTCCTGGGGAAGCAACTGGCGCAAAGGTCCCAGCTACAAAGCAGCCATCATGAGTCTGAACTCACACTCTGAACTGTTGGGCCCTCTGCCATCCTGCCTCAAGGAACCAATATGTTACAGTCTTGGTAAAGCATAAAAAAGGGGACTGGAAGAGGCTCTCCTTTTCTAAGTTGCACATTCAGATCTTCAGTTACATGAGCCAAATTTTATCCGTAATCACAGAAACTATATAGTTCAGTCCAGAAACAACACCTACTTTCTGTACCCTGTCACTCTTTGTACCTGCGTTTTTTTTTCCTATTATAATACTTTTAACTACTTAACATAATTTTTTTTGACTATCTCTCCCCCTAAAAATGTCAGTTTCTCGAGGACAAAGTAGCAAAGTTTTTGTCTTTTTTGGGGGGGAGGGGGGAAGACAGGGTTTCACTATATAGCCCCAGCTGGCCTGGAACCCCCTATACATACAGAGATCTGCCTGCCTCTGCCTCCTGAGTGCTAGGACTAACAGCATGTGCCATCCTTTTTTGTTGTTGAGACAAGTTCTCCCTATGTAGTCCTGCCTTTCCCTCCTGAGCTGTGGGACTAAAGGCATGTCCCACCACCATGCCCAGCTTGGGGTTTGTTGTTGTTGAGACAAGGTTTCCTTATGTAGCCCAGGCTAGCCTCAGACTCAGAATCCTCCTACCTCAGCCTCCCAAGTGCTAAGATCACAGGCAAGGGCAGACATAACTCTTTAGTTCTGTGTTGGCGCCCCAGTGCCTGACACACTAAATACTCAGCAAATGTAAGAATGGAATACCTAGCCTCGCCCATAAATTCTTATGAAATATTGTTACATCTTTTTTGTTTGTTTGGTTGGGTTTGTTTTTAATTTTTTGTGTCTATGACTATATTGCCTGGTATGTATAAATGTGAACCCATGTCATGCAACACCCATGGAGGCCAGAAGAGGGCACTGGATCCCCCGGAACTGGAGTTATAGACAGTTGTTAGCTGCCATGTGGTTGCTGGGAATGGAAACCAGGTCCACTGCAAAAGCAGTCAGGGCTCTTAACTGCTGAGCCATCTCTCCAGCCCCAGGCCTCAATGTCCTAAATTCTGAGATTACAAGCCCATGCCCAGTTCATGTGGTGCTGGAAATGGAACTCGGAGCTTTATGCATGCTAAGCAAGCACTCAACCAACTAAACCACATTCTTAGTCCTATAATCAGAATTTTCTACATGAGAATTACTGGCATTAGAATCAGAATCATCCACTGCCATTTGAGAAAGCAGCAGCCCTGTCCTTTGTATGAAAGGGAAGGCCAAGGGACCTGCGTACATCAGGTGGTCATCCACACCCACATCCCTACACCAGGGATCTAGGTGACAGAAACTCTCCAGCCATCAAGCCTGGTTCCTACCTGGGTGAGGGCCGACTCCAGCATGTTACAGAAGATGCTGAACTGTTTGAAGTTCCCTGTCTTGTGAGTCAAGTCTTCGATGACTGGGTGGGAAGAAAAGTTCCTCCTGAGCTCAGACCACTGGCTCAGCTCAAAGGCAATGAACTCAAATTCTCTAGCCTTGCCCACTTGCGGTGCCTCTGACCTGAGCAGTGGGGCCCACACTCCCACCAACCTGGAGAGCCAGAGGGCCCAACAGCTTCTGAGGGAAGTGGACCCTAGGGGAGGAGAGGCGAGCCCACCCTGGGAAGGCACACTCACAGCCAGCATCGAACTCTCCACGCCACTGGTCAGCCGTCATCCTGTCCTCCACTTCCAGCTCCAGCACCTGCCCAGACACCACCACGCGCACGGCATGCTCCACACCCCTGAAGATGTAGTCTACCTGCAGGCCAGCTGGCTGGTCCATGGCCAGGGTCCCTGAGGAGGTGGACAAGATAGACATGCAGAGAGGCTGAGAGCCAGAGTTGGACATTTCTTGGTGGTGGGTTTTGTTTTGTTAGGAGTTTTATGTTGTTTTAAGACAGGGTCTCACTATGTAGTCTAAGCTGTCCTCAAACCTGCAGCAACCCTCCTGCCTCCGTCTGAGTGCTGAGGTAACTGGTATGCACCACCATGTCCACCTGAGAGCCAGGATCTTGAGTTAAACGACCAGGATGCACTTCCTGGATCTTCCATTCACCCCAGGAAAGTGATGAGAACTTATTTGGATGACACACATAAAAGCTTAAAGAATTGAATTGGGTGTGGCAAGGCCTGTAATCCCAGCACTGGGAAGCTAAGAGAGGGCAGTCACAAGCTGCGGGCCAGACTGGGCTATAGAGTAAGAACCAGTCTCAAAAATACCTGACTTGTAATTCAGTTGTACAGTGCTTGCCTAGGATACACCAGCGAAGGGCTGGGGCTGGGAGTCGCTCAGTGGTAGAGCTTGCCTAGAATTCATCCCCATTGAGGGGCTGGGAGTCGCTCAGTGGTAGAGCTTGCCTAGAATTCATCCCCATTGAGGGGCTGGGGTGTGGCTCAGTGGTAGAGCACCTGCCTAGAATCCCCCAGTGAGGGGCTGGGGTATGGCTCAGCGGTACAGCACCTGCCTAGAATAGCTCAGTGGTAGAGAATCTGTCTAGAATCCCCCAGTGAGGAGCTGGTGGTGTGGCTCAATGGTAGAGAGCTTGCCTAGAATCCCCCAGTGAGGAGCTGGGGGTGTGGCTCCATGGTAGAGAGCTTGCCTAGCATGTGCTAGGTCACAGGTTGAGGTTACATCCCTAGCATGGGCATGTGGGGGGAAAGTACTACTATGTCCTGCATTTGGTTGGGGGCTAGGAGGGATAAAGCCTCACTATGTAGCCCTGGGTGGCCTGAAACTTGCTATATACATTGTAGACCAGGCTGGCCTTGATCTCACAGATCCTCTGACTCCTAAGTGCTAGAATTACAGTAGTATGCCACCACACCTGGCTTTTTTTTGTTTTTTAGACAAGGTCTGTGTAGCCCTGGTTGGCCTGGAACTCACTATGTAGACCAGCTGGACTCAAATTCAGAGATCTGCCTGCCTCTGCCTCTCAAGTGCCTAGATGACAGGTATGTGCCACCACACCCAGCTATGTCCCTCATCACACTATACAATTCATGCTGTGGTTATCATCTGGAAGACCATGATTAATATTACTGATTATTATTTACTTATTCATCAAAAAAAAACCAAAACATTTATGGAAAAAAAAATCAAGCTGAAAAACAGGACAAGTTCTGGGTTCAGACAGGTCAGAGCTGGCCTTCAGAGGTGATTTTTTTCCTTTTTTAAAATTGTATGACTACATTGCCTTCATGTAGGTAGGTGCACCCATGTCGTGCAATACCTGCAGAGGTCGGAAGAAGGCGTCGGACCCCCCTGGAAGTGAAGTTATGGACAGTTGTTAGCTGCCATGTGGATGCTGGGAATCAAACCTGGGTCCTCTACAAGAGTAGCCAATGCTCTTAACCACTGAGTCATCTCTCCAGCCCCCCAAGGTGATGTTTTAAACAAAGAACGACGAAGTTTGGGACAAAACTGAAGGAGGAAGCCACGTTGAATATCTGGAGAAAGTACCCCAAATCCTGGGGGCAACCACTGTAATATAGTCCTATGACACAATGAATCATCTGCACTGAATTCATAGTTGATTTAGTTTTTTTTTCATTTATTTTTATTTTATGTGTATGAGTGTTTTGCCTGCAAAGTGTATCTGTGTATGCAATGCCTGCAGAGGTCAGAAGTGGGTAATGGATCCTCCAGAACTGGAGGTACAGATGGTTGTTTGCCACCTTGTGGGTTCAGTGCTGGGAACCAAACGCAGGTCCTCTGAAGAGCAGTGAGTGCTCATAACCACCGAGCCATCTTCTAGGATCCCACAGCTGTTTCAAAGACACAGGCACTAACCCAGACCATGGGGACCCCTCCACTGCCTGTTCTCCTCTCCCTACCACTTCTGTCCCTCATACTTTCCCCAGGAAGTTCTCTTGAGTATTTTTTGTTTTGTTTTTATTTTGAAACAATACAGCTGACCTTGAACTCCTAACCCTCCTGCCTCCCCCTCTGAAGAGCAGGGCAGCACCACACTCTGCTAATTCTTATACTTCTTTTTAGGGAAAACATGTGCCCCAGCTGTCCTGAAACTATGTAGACCAGACTGGCCTTGAACTCACAGAGATCCGCCTGCCTCTGCCTCCTGGGTGCTGAGATTAAAGGCGTGCGCCACCATGCCCGGCACCAACCCTATTCTTTTAAGACTTGTGTGTGCATGTGCATGTGTGCGTGTGTATAAGTGCACCCAAAGGCCAGGGTTACTGGATTCCCTGGAACTGGAGTTACAGGCAGTTAGTTGACAACCCTACAGGGATGCTGGGAACAGAACCTGGGTCCTCTTGTAGAACAGTAAGCACTCCTAAGGGCTGAGCCATCTTTCCAGCAACCTGCCTGCTTTTTGAGATGGGTTCTTACTGAATTGCCTAGGCTGGCCTTGAACTCATTCTATAGTCCAGGCTAGCCTCGAACTTTTGATCCTCCTGCCTCAGCCTCCCGAGTGTGGGATTACAGACATGTGCCATCTCATCCTGTTTTGTTTTTGTTTTCTGTTTGTTTTTTTAAGTTGGGGGGAGGTCTTTTCTGTCACTTAAGTATCTAAAGCTATTTTCCTTTGTGTTCTTCCAGAATGATTTGTTCTTATTCTTTCCCTTACTTTGAGGGACTTCAAGAAAATACTTTTTTTTTTTTTTTTTTTTTTTTTTTTTAACAAATTCTCCCTGTAGCTCCCGCTGGCCTGAATCTCACAGAGATATGCCTGCCTTGCCTTCTGGGTGCTGAGATTAAAGGCCTGTGCCACCACACCCGTCAGGGTTTGGGCTTTTTTGAGACAGGGTCCCTCACACTGCCTAGCCTGGCTTGAAACTATGTTGCCCTAGAGCTAAACTCTTATTTGGGAGAAAGGTGTTCGGGACATTTTGGAGGGCCTCATGAAATCTGAGGGACCCCAGAAATTATGCTCTGGCTTTCTGGGGATTCAGAGGCCTGGAGTATTCATCTCTGATGTAGCTGTCCCTTCCAATTTAACCCTCATTTCCCGGCCATTGGCGCTGTGCGGGGAGTGCCGCCCTGCCCAGGCCCCACCCACAAACCCACCCCCTCCCCCTGCTCCTCACGCTAGGGATCAAATAACCGAAGTCAGAGCCTTCCCAGTCACTAAGGTACTGGAGGTTACTAGGGCAATTGAGGCACCCCAGGAGCCTCATCATCAATCTGGCCCTGTCCTAAGAGCTACACCGACTAAGGCCCTTCAGCATTTGACTGCTCAGCTGTCCCCACGCCCTCCTGCCGTCTAGGTCCCCCACGTTCAGCCCCCCAAAAATCGAATAATCCCGACAATCCGCCTGAAATCTACTCACTTCTGATGCTCACCTCCCTCCATTGTCCCTTCCCTCTTGGAGGCTTTACTACTGTCCCTTAGCTACTGAGAGAACAAACCCCACACTCCAGCTAGCTGATCCTGATCCCAGCTCCCCCATCCCTCATGTGGCATCTCAGCCTTTTGGCTAAGGTCAAGGGTAGGCCACCCTACAATCCAGATCTATACAACCCAGCACATCAAGGGTATCCCCCCCAAACACTTTTTGTTTTAAAAAAGGACCAAACATATTTAGCTTTCCAGACTAAGGAGTGAGGGACAAGCCCTGAAAGGAAACACCAGCCACAGACTGGTTTGGAGGCTGAACAGGGAAACCACAGGTTTGTTTGGAGATAATTTATAGTCTGCAAATCAGCTGGGCTTCCAAGAAAAGACGAGTAGGCCTTTGGATATATGACCCTGGAGGTGGGCAGAGATGGATGCTGGAAAATGACACCAGTGAGTCACTCCTGGTTTAAACAGGGTGAGGGAAGTGGTATACACAGAGAAATTATTCCACTAAAGATGAAACTTGGTCATAAAAGGGTTAACTCACCCAAAGCCAATACAACTTCAGTACTAACCAAAGGGCAGTGGCAGGATTCAAACTTGGACTGCCAGATACTGGGGTCCACACTCTCTGGCCTCAAACTCACTCTGTAGCCCAGCCTCAAACTTTCGGTCGTCCTGACTCATATGCTCCAGTGCTGGGATTACAAATGTGCAGCACTGCAGAGTTTGTTAAGGCTGTTTAAGAGTTTATTCTGGGAGGTGGGTAAAATGGTTTAGGAGGTGAAAAGGTGCTTGCTGCACAAACCTGGAGACCTGAGTTCAATCCTGGAACCCCCATGAAGATGGAGAGAACTCCACAAAGTTGGCCTCTCAGAGCCTCCACACAGATGCTGTGGCACGCCCCCCATCGCACACACAAACACACACTAAATAAATACTTCAGCTAGGCCAGGTAGCGCACACTTTTAATCCCAGCACTCAGAAGGCAGAGGCAGGAGGAGCTCTCTGAGTTCGAGGCCAGCCTGGTTTACACAGCTAGTTCCAGGCCAGCCAGGACTACATAGTGAGACCTTGTCTCACAAATAGTCATCCAGGCTCCGGCATGCAGTAGTGGTAGAACTCTTGCCTAGCATGTATGAGGCTCTGGGTTCGATCCGCAGCACCACAAGTGGGGGCCAAAAGTGAATTCCTGTAAAATAACTTAGTACCTGCACACAGTAAACGCTGTATGTATGCCATGCTTCCGCCTGTCTTCAGGGCACAGCCTCAACCCTGCCCCGCCCTCTCTCCTCAATCTCATTTCATTCACCCTCCTTCCAATCCTAAATTCGGAACCCATGGCATCGTGGGGACCCTGTTGTTTACATCCCGAGTTATAATAACGCTCTACCTTAAAACCTCCCATGAAGTCACAAGGCCGTATTCTGCAAGCTGTCTCGCGTTTGACAACTTAGAGCATTAAAGACTCTGTGAAAATCGCCCTGTTTACCAGAGCCTCGACCCCCTCAACCCTGTGTCCGGCGCCCACCCGTTAAGGGGCCCCAGTCCCAGGTATCCCCACTCCCCGGGACCCCCACGGACCGGAGGACTCTCCACTTCCGCGCGCCCGCCGCTGCTCACCACTTCCGCGGACTCGCCTCCTCACCTGCGGTTCAACCGCCGAAGCTCCAGCCCCGCCCCAGATCCGGCCTTCTATTCCTCATTGGTCAGGGCTGGCCAGCAGCCATGTTCCCATAAGTCAAAAAAGACGCCCGTCACTCTGTCCCGCCCCCCACAGAAGGGCCCGCCTCCCCATGCTTGCGATTGGTCCGCTTGGAAGAGACATTCCTAAACGAGTTAGGGAGACCCTGCTAGCGTTTATCCTTCTCCAATGGCTATTGGCCAATAGTGATGCCAATCAGGGAAAAAGCTCCCTGGCGAAGGCGGAGGGAGGATTCCGAAAGTAGTCTCTTGACTCCGCCCACCACGCCTCCTGTGTGGAAGGATAGGCCCCGCCCATGGGGAAGACCTGGACAGGGTAGAATGTAGCACATGCGCAGTCCTGCCCCGGGTCCGGAAACTGCTGGACCGTTCTCAACTGTAAAGACCGGTAGAGATTTCCTGGCTCTCAGTGGGCCCTACGCTGATAACTTTGCAATCCTTGACTTTGTGTGCGTGTTTATGGCGTTTTATGGGGATTTTTGGTCTCTTGGTTTTTTGAGACAGGGTCTCACTGGCCTTAACTTGCTATGTAGACCAGGCTGGCCCCCATCTCACAGAGATTCGCCTGCCTCAGCCTCCCAAGAGCTGGGACTAAAGGTGTAAGCCACCATGCCCGGTTTTTTGGTTTGGTTTTTTTTTTTTTTGGCGGTTTTTTGAGATAGAACCTAATGTAACCCAGGCTGGTCCCAAACTCACTATGCAACCCAAGGCTGACCTTGAACTCCTCCCTATCCTTCTGCCTCCAACTCCAGATTACTAGGATTATAGGAGTGCACACCATGGCCCTGCGTGGTGCCGATTTATTTTTAATCTCTGGATTTAAATATTTTAATTTTAATTTAATTTTGTGGGGATTTTCCTTTATTTTTATCTGTATGAGTGTTATTCCTGCATATTAAGTGCACCTGTGTTGTGCAGTGCCTGCAGAGGACAGAAGAGTGCCTTGGATCACCTGGAACTGGAGTTAGGACGGTTGTTAGGTGCCATGTGGGTTCTGGGATTCGAACCTGGGTTTTCTGCAAGAGTAGCCAGTGCTCTCTTAAAGGCTGAGCCATCTCTCTAGGCCCTTGTTTTGTTTTTTGAGCATGTTGACCAAGCTGACCTCTTGCCTCCCAAATGCTGGAAGAGTGTGCACCACATATCCAGGTGTGGTGGCACACACCTTTAATCCCAGCACTCGGGAGGCAGAGGCAGGCAGATCTCTGTGAGTTCAAGGCCAGCCTGGTCTACATAGTGAGTTCCAGGACAGCAGGGACTACAGGGAGACCCTGTCTCAAAAAGACCAAAAAAAAAAAAAGTGTGTGCCACCATAACTGGGCCTAATTTTATTTTTAATTGCATGTCTTTCTGTGTGTCCATGTGTGGGTAGGCATATGTGTTTCTATTTGCCTGCAGAGGCCAGAGAGGGAATCAGATATCCTGGAGCTGGAATTACAAGTGGTTGTGAGTCACCAGTGTGGGTGCTGGGAACCAAACTCAAGTCCTTTGCAAGAGCAGTATGTACCCTTAACCACGAGCCATCTCTGCAGCCTCTCCATTGACTTTTGGGGGGGTTTTTTTTGGGGGGGGTCTTTTTGAGACAGGGTCTCCCTGTAGCCCCAGCTGTCCTGGAACTCACTATGTAGACCAGGTTGGCCTTGAACTCACAGAGATCCTCCTACCTCTGCCTCCCAAGTACTGGGATTAAAGGCGTGTGCCACCATGCCGGGCTTCCACTGGCTTTTTAAAGCTCAGAGCAACCCAGCAAAGTAAGCATCATTGTGATCTCCATTTAGCCACTAAGGAAATAGAAAGAGGTAGAACCACTGTCTCAGACCACATAGCTTGTGAACAGACCTCTATTTTGACCTGAAGAGTCTTCAAGAAGGTCAATTCGTATGCTGGTGAGATAGTTCAATGGATAAAGGGGCTTTTTGCCAAGTCTGGCCACCTGTGTTTGATCCTTGGAACCCACAAGGAGAAAACTGAATCCACCTGCAGGGCATGGTGCCCGGCCCAAAGAATACAGAAACTGCAGGGCCTGGTGGTATACATGCCTGTAATCCCAGCACTGGGAATGGCCTGACAGGAAGATAAGAACAAATTACAATCTTAAAAGACTTGACAATTACCATAAACCTTGCCAACTCCCAAACAATAAATAATGTTTTCATTAATCTACTTCCTGACACACCTCTGAGGTGCTTTTCTTTCTGAACTGTGTATTTACTTTATAATATACTGATCTACAGCCTTCCTCACCCCCAAGGATCTGGGAGATAGCTCACTTGGTAAAGTGCTTCTCATACAAGCATAACAACCTAATTCCGGGGCTGGAGAGATGGCTCAGTGCTTAAGAACACTGGCTGCTCTTGCAGAGGACCCAGGTTCGATTTGATTCCTAGCACCCACATGGTGGCTAGCAAGTGTCTGTAAATCCACTTCCAGGAGATCCAACACTACTTCTGGCCTCAGTGGGCATTGAACACATGTGGTGCACTTACATATGCAAAACAGTCATACACATAAAAATAAAATAGGTCTGGCTGGAGAGATGGCTCAGCGGTTAAGAGCACTGGCTGCTCTTACAGAGGACCCAGGTTTGAATCCTAGCACCCACATGGTGGCTAACAACCATCCATAACTCCAGTTCCAGGGAAATTCGACACCTTCTGCCCTCCTTGGGCACTGCATGACACAGGTGTACTTACATGCAAGCAATACACTCATACACATAAAAATAATAAAATATTTTAAAAACTTTTAAGGCTGGGCGTGGTAGTGCATGCCTGTAGTCCCAGCACTTGGAAGGCAGAGGCAGACAGATCTCTGTGAGTTCAAGGCCAGCCTGGTCTCCATAGTGAGTTCCAGGACAGCTGGGGCTAAAGGGAGACCCTGTCTCAAAAAGACCAAAAAAATAAAAATAAGGTGTAGAGAGGCTGCAGAAGACACTAAACATCAACCTCTGGCCTGTGCACACAGTCATGCACAGAAACATGTACACATATACCAGACACACAATAAAATACATAAATCCAAAGTAAAAAGAGGACTCATCGGTACATCGCCTGCCTAGGATCCTCTAGTGATAAGCTGGGGGTGTGGCTCAGTAGTAGATCCACTGCCTAGAATCCCCCAGTGAGTTCCTGGGGGTGTGGTTTGGTGGTAGAGCATCTCCTGACAAACTCAAGGCCCTATGATCAATCTTAAGTACCTCATAAATAATATCTTCCCCTTGTTGACTTAATGAGAGTAGATATAGGATTAGGGTCCTATAGTCTAAGGTCCTTACAAAAACCGGTACAAATCAGGTATGAATTTGCCTTCAGTGCTCTTAAGGAATGCAAGATAGAAAGTTCAGAGCCCCCTCAGGTAGGAGGACCAGGAGTTCAAGATCAGCCTTAGCTATATAGTGAATTTGAAGCCAGCCTGAATCCTTTTTTTTTTTCTTTTTTACCTTTTAAATTAAAGCACTAGGGGCCAGAGAGATGACTCAGTAGCTAAGAGCACATACTGCTCTTGCAGAGGACCCGGGTTCGATTCCCAGCACCTACATGGTTGCTCACAACTGTCCTTAACTCTAGTTTCAGGGGCTGTAATTCCAGGCCTCTTCTGGCCTCTACTGGCACCAGACATGCATATGTGCACATGCATACATGCAGGCAAAACACTCATACACATAAAAATATTAAAAATTAAAATCAAGAAGCTAGATGTATTAGCTCAGCAACAGAGACCTTGCCTAGGATGCATAAAGTCCTGGGTTCAATCCCTTGTACTGTGTGTCTGTGTGTGTGTAATTTAGGTAGAGGTAGTGGTGGCACATGCCTATAATCCCTGAGCTTGGGAGGATGAGTCAGGAGGATCATAAACTCAAGGCCACCCCTGGAAAAGACTGTGATAACTTTTCTAAAAAAAAAAAAAAGAGAGAGAGAGAGAGAGAGAGAGAGACAGAGACAGAGACAGAGAGAGACAGAGACAGAGAGAGACAGAGAAAGAAAAAAAAGGAAGGAAGGAAGGAAGGAAGGAAGGAAGGAAGGAAGGAAGGAAGGAAGGAAGGAAGGAAGGAAGGAAGGAAGGAAGGAAGGAAGGAAGGAAGGAAGGAAGGAAGGAAGGAAGGAAGGAAGGAAGGAAGGAAGGAAGGAAGGAAGGAAGGAAGAGAAAAAAATGAGTCTAGGTATGGTGTCCCACACCTTTGGTCCCAGCATTCTGGAGACAGAGGCAGACCCATCTCTCTGTTAGTTCGAGGCCAGCCTGGTCTACAAAACAAGTTCCAGGCCAGGTAGGGCTACATAGTGAAATGCTGTCTTTAAAAAATAACTTGCTGGCCAGGCGTGGTGGCGCACACCTTTAATCCCAGCACTTGGGAGGCAGAGGCAGGCGGATCTTTGTGAGTTCAAGGCCAGCCTGATCTACATAGTGAGTTCCAGGACAGTTGGGGCTACAGGGATACCCTGTCTCAAAAATATAAAATATAAAAAATAAAAATAAAAAGAGGGGCTGGAGAGATAGCTCAGTAGTTAAGAACACTGACTGTTCCTGTAGAAGACCCGGTTCGAATCCCAGCACCCCACATGGCAGCTAACAGCTGTCTGTAACTCTAGTCCCAGGGGATCTGACAGCCTCTTCTGTCCTCTGTGGGCATTGCATGATGCTGGTGCACTTACACACACGCAGGCAATTCATGCATACACATAAAATAAAAATAAGTAAAATATTAAAAAATAGTGAAAGACTCAAAAATTAGGGAAAATATACAAGAGAAATGGTCTATCATCATCAAAAAACTTTATTTTAAAGACATTTTAATGGAAACAAAAAGTTGCACTAGAGGAAAAGCAAGAGGGGACAATTAGAAAGTCAAACAGAAGTAGATGGATGGAGGGGCAAAGAGGTGGCTCAGCAGTTAGCAGCACTGGCTGATCTTGCAGAGGGTCCTGAGGCTGAAGTATAACACCACAGGGCAGC